GGGGTAACTTATATCCCCGTAAACAACAATTACGATCTTCAAGGTCACACACGATAACGGCAGTAGCTTCGTTACATGTTACATATCCACTATAAAACAGGGCATAGATATACGGTACCGAAATTGGTTTATATTTGTGAAAAGGTGATTTTTTTTTACTGTTAGGCGGTACCGTGTAAAAACGGGCTTGAAACCGCGGGTTTACTGTACATGACCGCGGGTAACCCTGGATCGAACGAACGTTCGGTTCGATTGACGTCATATCGAACATGATTCGATTCGAATGACGTCATATCGAACATGATTCTGTTCGATGAAAAGGTTGGAATATTTGGGCCCAAATTTGACCATCGTGATCAAATGTGCAAAATTTACTTTAATGACGTTTTAAAAAATCTTCTTGTTTCATGCATCAACATATTGCTCACCTAGTGCTTCACATGTAAACCCAAGCTGGTCTGTGCAGCTCCTGTCATTCCAAGTCTGTCTCCAATACTGCACACAATTTTCAAGACTTCCACCGTTCGGCTCGCCTGGGTACCAGTCCGTGAACCCTGTCGATGTCAGACTGGATCCGTCCTCCCACAGAAACTGACCCTCAGTGACCTCGTCAGTTAACCCGAACCATTTATGGTCCGATGGCAGAGTTTTCACGAAACTGTTAATCTCCGAGTTCTTGATCATTGCCAGGCTTCCGCCGTTGTCTATGCAGACTTGTCTGGCTTGGCTGTATGTCATCGCGTCGGTGAAAACTTTGTAACATTTTCCACTGAACAGTGACCAGCCCGCGGGACACTCTGAAGCAGAAAATAAGTTGATTCATCATTGCATGGACTATTTACAATTGACTGCCAGTTGACGCCTACACTGTCTAGGGATGTAAACGTTTCAAATACGAGCAATTCATTATCAGATTAATGTAAAATTCCGTAGTGTATTTACAGAATAAGAAATTAAATAAAGACGGATGTTCTAATTCTCACCTGTGCCAGAAAAAAAGAACAAGAAACATGGAGGATATTTACAAATGTACATATTTATTCAGACCGACATATTAAAACCGATATTATAGCCATCTCGGAACAGTGGTTTTTCCCTGGGGCATTGAACACACTACATATTATTCTACACATTTGGAGGCCTTGGGAGAGCAGTCGAAACACAGTGGGACCTTGGAAAAGAAGTGTCTCTGTAGTGGCGCACAAACTTAAGGAGGGGAATAATAGGGGCATAGACCTGGTATATAGCTGAACATGTTTTAGATTCACATTGGATACGCGGCAGAATTGTTTGCAAACAAAAACTGTTGATAAGGTCATCCTCTAATATACACACAATAACACGTCATGCCTCCTGGTTTTCTTAACTGTTCGCTCTAAATTATTCATGCTAAGTGCTACATGTGCAGCCTCTCTTTAAACCTATTATATGTTTCAAAAGCTGCTTGTTGCTAAGTAACTACGACCTTACACGACCCCAGCTGTACGGAATTACTACGTAGCTATTTTTCAACTTTCCTTAAGAATTTTGATAATACATGTTTTAGGTACAATCTTTGGGTCCATCTGTGGTCAGCATAACTTGAGAAGTTGTGGATGGATCCATGTTTGGTCAGTTTCGGTCAAACAAAGGAAAATTTTGCTTTCAAGCCTCCTGGCTGCTGGTACTGCAGCAAAACTTCCATTTTTAATATTTGTGATGACAATTTCATAATGTTGATAGCAAATATATGTTCTTGAACTACACGTGTTGGCATATATATTTTACGAAATAAGAAATATGAGAGTTAACTATGCATAAGAGCCTGTATTATCTGACCACGACCTTTCTTGTTTCATCAATTTTATAGAAAATTTTGACATGCCCTTATTTAAAAAATTAGTTCTCATTACTGCGATTTATGCAAAATAGAGTAAAAATAACAATTTAAGTTTTAAAATTTATCAAGTATAAAATCCCGGTCATTTACCACTACTTGTATAGTTCTGTAGCATATTGCATCAATCATACAAATAATGTCTCCATTTGTATGACCTATGGATATACACATAGACCAGCGTGACACTGCCTACGATGATACCCCGTGACGGGACCTGGTTTGATAAACGAACATATTTGAAGATATGAAGCAGAAACTCTTCGGTGCAGAATGGCAATACTGGTTAGTGTGATAAAAAAAGGGCCTTCCCGTTGCAGTAGCCCTGTGCGACACAGTGGTGAAATCACAATGGTTAGTCATATGTCATATATACCGGAAAAATTAAAACAAAATGAACCAAAATCCCTGTCCTCAAACAAAGCAAGTATGTAGGAAACCGACCTAGACTCACACAGTTAAACTCTGTTAAACACAACGGTTAAAACCGGGGAGAAGGTGCTGCACAACAAACCGTGGCTGTTTGCAAGAGACATTCCACATGAGCCCAGATTGGTGGTGAAAAAAAGGATACTGCTATGTAACCACAGCCAATACTGTACAAAACGTGCTCAGTCAACACAAAGAAAGGAACAGTTCAAAAACAAGTTAGATTGATCATTTTGAATTATCAAAAGTACTGAGTTGTATTTGATAAGCTAATGTGGACCGTAAGACTGTTAAGGTCCTTTTCCCCTGCTAAAGAATGAGTTGAATAGGAGTTCCGATCGAAAGAAGAGCGATCCTATTGTTGTCCTACCTGCTGCTTGAGTCATCGGTTGGAGCAAAGTCAACACGAGGACGACTCGTTCGATAAGGCTACTTTGCATTTTCTTTCTCATCCCTATGATGTTCACTGAGGGTTCGCTGAGTAGTCAAGAAAACACGCGACCAGTCCGGAGACGCTCGTCCTCAATGACTGAGGTCGTTGGTACAGGTTCTCCACAACATGAGAAAACAACACCTATCCCTTTCATGGTAAATTAGAGAAATATAATAAAGATGCACATCGTAAAATCGTAACATTTAATCGAGTGTATGAAACCAATGACTACAAAGAGCCTTTTACAGCCTGAGAGCTTTTGTGTAGAGATGTATTAAACTGGGCGGATGGATGGGCAGTAGAAAAGGTTCATAAAATGAAGGCCGAATACCTTCATTGTACATTTTTGTCTCAGCGGGCTAAGTGTAGATATACACAACAAATCTTTATTTCCAATCATTGAGCTATACACGTATTTAAACAAGAACGTTTTTACAAACGCACATAAGTTATCTATATCATTTACAAGTATATATGTGTAGTTCTAGCTTCTTCTCGCTTCGTTGTACCGGTGAAAATGTGACGACATAGGTTTTAGTTAAAGTCGATTTGCATCTAATTTTATAGCTTCTTGAAATTCGCCGAAAAATGAGTGGTGGATGTTTTAGTAACACCGGACTAATGTTACCAGTAATTGTGAATATGGCATGTAGGTATCAGGTCAGCTGAGGACACATTTAAATTAGTCACTCGGCATCATCAATGTTTTCCTTCATGCAGAAAGGTTGTGTTTTTCACTGTGTATGTAACTGTGTTTGTTTTTTTCACATGCTAGGCACGGTTATCCCATTTTTTTTATTCTCCAACATTTCTTGACTAGGCATGGTGACCGCACACTGACTCAAGATATATCAACTTATTTTGTGCCGCCACCAACGAAGAGGACGAATACAGGACAAGACAATACACGCGAAAGTCGTGTAAAGTGCCTTTCCTAAGGGCACAAGATCGGTGGCATGTCAGGACTCCAACCCGGGACCTCATGGTTCCGAGTCGAGCACGCTGCCGCTACGCCATACGACCCCACGATCCCATCTATCTTCAGTTCCCTGCCGCATGTTTATCTATATATATATATATATTTTGTATGGCCCAGTTGGACAATGCATAGACAGAATTTAAGTCTGCCCCAACGGTAGGTTGTGTAGATTTAAATTGAAGATGCCAAAAAGCAGTCTTAGTGCCCCAGTCACTTATCTACATAGTAAGTTGAAACAACACTATCCCAATATCGACATTAATAGGGCAAAAATGCGATATTGTGTGTATGGGAGGGGAAGGTTCAATAATCTTCCGACCGTACACGAGTCGATCCCCTGATTCACCTCTATGGCGTACGTACGTGGAGTCGTAGCACCTCGTGCCGTTAATGATTGAAAATTTAGCAGGACTGAGAATTTCTTAACTTGATCCCCAGGATTGTCAAGCCAAGCACTGATAAGTCCTTCCTGCAATCCCAATATAACCACCTTCTTCTGAACATGTTTTGCTCTGGTAAGCACACGTGACGTCATAATCTTAGACAGGCGCCCTCCTGGTGGGATCTGGCGGTGAGGTTACGGCTTGGTCCGGTGAGGTAACGACTTCGTCCCGGTATCTCTATACAAAATTTCAGGTCAGTCAAATTTAATACCAGGGCTCCAGATTCCAAAATGAACATTTTTTACCTGAAAATGGACAAAAAAAAACTAAAACTATTTTAAAAAGCCTGTATTCAAGGAATGACAAAAAAAATCTGGGAAAACTAAAAAAAAAAAAACTCTACCATCATGCCAAATTTCATGTCATTTAGCTCAAAAATGAAGATATTGTATCCATTTAACGAAATGGCAGGAGAAGGAGAAGAAGAAGACACAAGGGAAAGCAATATGTTTTACCACACCACGCAGTAGAAGCCATAATAATCAACGGGACAAGGGTATAACACAGTGCCTTTTAACCTCTGACGTATATGGGACACTTATTTCCTAGGCTCTGCACTATGTATTGGTAAAGCAGTAGTCATGCTGAATAGTGAAATAGGTTTGCCTCACCTGATATGATGCGTTTCAGTAACTGCCATGTGAGAATATGCAATAGCAGGCATATGTAGCATAGGCTAGAGAACACATGTCTGATTCTAAATATGCACATTTCTGATAATCAAAAATTAGAAAGTTTATTAAAGCACAGGTTTCGTTCCATTTTTCTTGTGTTGTATATGTCTATTCTTGCGCTGGGTATTTGCGCATGCCCTCTATACCTTTATACAAAATGCCAGTTCATTTGGCCTAAAAATGACGGAGTTGAATCCATTCAACCAAATGGCATGAGTGTAAAGTGAAGGACAAGAAATATAAAGATAATCTATATTTTTTTTCATACCTAAATGTAAAAGCCGATAGAATTGCCATCTCAGAAGTGGCTTTTCCACGAGGCCTTGAACACACAAGATCCTACACAGCCACCGAGATCTTGGGATAGCAGTAAAATACTTCGGCACACAGTGGGACCTTGGAAATCGAAAAGACGTTAGAGAGAAGTGGCGAATCTAGGGGCACAGACCTGATTGTGCACCAGTGCATGTTTGAATTTCACCGTTTACAATATTGTGTCTTTGGATACGTGGCATAATTGTTTGCAAACAAAACCTGTTGACAATGTGATCCTCTAATATACACACAATAATACGTCATGCCTCCTGGTTTTATCAGCTGTTCGTACTAAATTATTCGTATTAAGTGTGCAGCCTTTTTTCAAAGCTAGTACCGTTTAAAAGCTGTTTGATGCTAAGTAAATACTGCAACACTCATGGCCTTACAAGTTTCCAGGTTAATAACTGCACTGCAGTGCACTAGTACTGCACATGTGTACGGAATTAACACTTGGCTTTATTTTCACTTTCCTAAGGATGTTGATAATACATGGTTAAGATGCCATCTTTGTGTCCTTCTGTGGTCAGCATAACTCGAGAAGTTGTGGATGGATCCATGTTTGGTACGTTAAGTTCAGGCAAAACAA